AGATCAAGCAAATACCCCACTGTGCGACGTATCAGCGAGCATTACTGGTTTGCGGGTATGGCATCGTTTGTAAAGTAGTATGTGGGAGTCTGCCTGAATTGCAGCTACTATAAGCCAGCGAATGGAAGAAAGCAGGGTAAGTTGTACCCCATTGAGAAAGTCCCTATACAGTTTCACACGCTCCACATAGACCACGTTGGACCGTTCGAAATCAGCGAAGGGAAAAACAAATATTCGCTCGTAATAGTAGACGCCTTCACGAAATTTACGATAATAGAACCGGTGAGGGATACGAAGGCGAAACTTGCTGTGAAGGTTTTATTGGACATTATCCACTTGTTCGGAGTGCCGCACCGAATCATAAGTGAGCGCGAGACCGCCTTCACCGCTAGGTCATTTAAGACCTTTTGCACGACATATGGCATCCGTCATGTACTAAATGTCGTAGCAACAACTCGCGCGAACGAGCAGTGTGAACGTTACAATTGCACGATTGTAGCAGCCTTGGCCACGACGACCGCGAGGCAAGACCCCCGAAGATTGAATAGGTGCATGAAACAGATTCAGAGCGCCATGAATACGACGCACAATAAGAGTATAGGAGTCACCCCAACGGAGGCGCTTATGGGGTGCAACGCCAGACACACGGCGGGCGCGAGGACACTGCAAGAAGTCCAAACCGAAGTGCACCGAATGGACCTGCAGCAGCTACGGAGGCGTATAAAGGACCACATTATAGAGTACCAGCGCAAACAGAAGGAAAGGTACGACAAGGCTAGGAGGGAAGCCACGAAGTATCAGGAGGACGACGTAGTCATGGTCGGGATAACGAGCGAGTGCCTACTGAAGAGAGCCGAAAACTTCTCCCGAAATTCAAGGGGCCGTTCAAAATTTGCAGGGTCCTCATGAATGACCGGTACGAGGTCGAGGACCTACGGGAAGGGGGTCGACGGGCGAAAACGGCAATCACCGTCGAGCGACTAAAACCTTGGATCGCCGTAGTGCAGTGAGGAGGCCTGCATTGCAGCCCAGGTATTAGGGATAAGTAAGACTGCTTAATCATCTTCTCGAAAATTTTACACATACAGGATGTGAGGGAAATAGGACGTACGTCAACACCGTTACTTTTGTTAATAAAAAAAGTGATACTGTCTTTCCAAGATAAGGGAAATCTGCTATTTAAATAAATTTCATTATAAATATCCAATAGAATAAGTTTAATTTTGAAAGGGAGACGCGTTATGAAAGTATACTTAATTTTGTCGGGACCAGGGGACGCCTTAAGGCTGCAACTACTGGGAGCACAGTCGAATTCCAAAAGGATGAAAGGTGAACTAAATATGAAATCGCGTTGATTTAGGTTATCGGAGAAAGCATAAGGATTGGTAGAAACCCAGGGTGGGCTGATCTTAATGATTGCCTCTTTGATATTGGCAGAATGCGAAGAAGAAGATCCCTTAGTGGGTCCAGTATTTGCCCATTTATTCTTAAGAAGCCTACATTTTTTCCAAACATTGGACGGATCCGTATCGAGATTAATACTGGCAGCAAAGGTACGAAAATGATCAACTTTACGTTTTCTAATGTATCTCCTCGCAGCCGCTTTGCATTTTTTAAATTCAATAAGATCACATAGCTTTTGTGACAATTTTCATTTTTTCAGAGCCGCTTTCCTGAAACGGATGAGCTTTTCGCACACCATATCCCACCAAGGGACAGAGTTCCTGTACTGCGAGATGGCTTGTGGTTTTCTAGCCGGGGTACTATGGGTGACTGCCTCAGATATCAATTTGTAAAAAAATTGGTATTTATCACAAGTTTCGCAACCAAGAAAACTGGGATGTAAGTCTGTACTGTTATCTTCCAGTAAGGTGCAATAGCGAGACCAATCGGTTCTTTTTGAGGAGAGTCGATAAGACGTTTTATTGTATAATACTCTTCCCGTGGACAATTTCACGCTTAGGGGATAATAATCAGAGCCCCACGTGTCTTCTATAATATTTATATCAGGAGAAGAAAAATGTAAATCTAAATTGGAAAACTTATTTCTATAAAAATCTATATGAGTAACCATATTATCATTAACAAGTATCATATTAGAGTTATCTACTGATTTAAGCAGCCTATCACCGTTGAGATCATTGTGAGCGCAATTCCAACATGTGCTATGTGAGTTAAAGTCTTCAAAAATTAGGCAGGAACCGAGAGAAAAAGTTGCTCCCATTCAAATTCCGAAACATTACGACCAGAAACCCTAACACTCTGCTAGGACAACTTTAGGAGAAATATTATGAATTTTGACTACCCCAGTTTCAAGATTGTCACTGATTTTACATAAGTCATAAATAACGCTGAATTTTAAGGATTTTCTTATCAAGAAAATGAGTCCACCTCCAGGGCGACCATTTTTATCAATGCGAACCTCGTTGAACCTAGGAAGATGAAACTTTTTGTCTGAATATAAAAAAGTTTTCACCCCAATAAAAACATCCGTTTCACACAATTGGATTTGAAGTTCATCTATACAAATTGAGATACCTCTAGAATTCCAAAACACTAATTTAAGATCCATGGGCAGATCAAACTTGCAGATGTGTTGGTTGATGATCTAGGAGAGGCTTAGTAGAAGTAACACCTACCCGAGACGAAAAACAGTCCGAATCAGAGTCGCAGTTTACAGATGAATAGGAATCCTCTAATGCAGAGGTCGTATTAGTCCAATCTATGTGAGATTCCAACTTTTTAATAATGCGTGAGATTCTGTTTTTTAAAGCTCTTCCGTCCAGACGAGGATACATGTTACGAAGCATTCGTATAAGGCGAGAGAAATCCGTAGTGAATGTACGAGCCAGTTGAACGATGTCATTGCAGCCTTTGGCTTTGATCATAAAATCTCTGAATTGGGAATAATTCAAGACATACGCATCCGGGTAACCGGAAAGTAGTTCTTTAATAAGACTCAGAGCCATGTCCACTACTTCAATTTCGGCTACCAACGAGGAGGAGTCCTTTCTCATTTCCTTCTTTGACGGTCTGCTTACTTTTGAGTCAGTCAAAGGCAGAGTACCCCCAGCCGACCCAGGTACCTTGTAGATCCTTTGAAACAGGAGCTGTTGCGTCGCGAAACATGTCGTTTCATTTATAATGGCAATTCAGCGTTTGCATTGATGCTACAAGCCATTAGCTAAATGGCTTTAGTGTCAATGCAAACCAAAGTACATAATAACCGCCATAAAGGGCCCGCTCCAGCGGCCTCGCGACCTGGTCCTGACCGTTGGGCCAGGGTATTTCCCAATACCTGGGACGCGCGGTCCACCCTCGCGTCACGAAATGCAAGAAGTACCAGCGCACCAATCCTGAACGAAAAAGGTTCTGATTGGATGCGGCTGACTTCTTGCATTAGGATATAAGGCGCGAAATGTAACATCATTAGACAGAAGGTTACAAAACGTCTAACATCATACACCGCCGTACGAACGAGAGAGGGTCCACGTCCAACAGAAATACAGTCCACTACACAACCAACGCCTTGCATATCAACAGACGTGCAAGAAGAGCTCTGGACGTGCAACACATTGTACGAGCTCTCAACATTTGGTCCTTCGAGCCGGATACAACCAGGCAACACACATCATCTCGAGAGATCTACATTTGGTCCTTCGATCAATACAAAACATCGACCGATCTACATTTGGTCCTTCGAGTTACATTTCATAACAACAACGTGGACTTGGAAGGAGAAGAACCTAAAGACATTTGGGTTCCGACGACTATTCGAAGCAGCCGACTACACAGCAGCACGAAGCAGCCGACTAGACGCAGCAGCTAGCGGAACAGTGCGATTTCCTGTGAATTCAAGGCAACCGGATCCACGCAGCAGCCAAACGAGTGCAACCACCAGCGGACCGTGGAGATCCAAAGCATCAAGCCCCGAGCGATCGTCATCAAGCAACAAGGCAAAAATCGACACTCGGGTGAGTAAACGAATCGTCTTCCCTTCCCCCTCGTACAATTCCCAGTTTCAATTCATTTAAAAATGGCTAACGAAGCAGTAGCAACGCAATTAAAAACGTTGAAGAAACAGAGAACGTCGCTAAAAGCTCAATTAACGCGTTTGTTGAATTTCGTTCAAGACAATCCAGACGCGTCCTTTAACGCACTAGATACACGACATAAAAAATTAAAGGCATATTTCAGTTCTTACGAGCAAACGCAGTCAGCTATAGAGGAAATCGACGACGAGTCCGATCATGATACTGAACGCGCGCAATTCGAAGAACAATATTTTTACGCGTCAGAATTATTTTTGAACAAACTAAACGGTGCACAAAATCCCAACATCCACGTAAACGCAGTAAGAAACTCAGATTCCCCAAGTGCAGTCGTGATTCGCCAACTAAACACGATATTACCTAAAATAGAAATTCGGCCATTCGACGGCAATCCCGTTGAATGGTATACGTTCCACGATACGTTCAAGTCGTTAGTACATGATAATGAAGAATTACCTACGGTGCAGAAATTTCATTTCCTAAAAAATTCTCTCCGCGGAGACGTAGCCGCGGTAGTTGCAACTCTAAATGCTTCGGAGCAAAATTACCACGTAGCGTGGGATCTATTGCAGCAGCGGTGCAATAGACCGCGGCAAATCATACAAGCACACTTAAAGGCATTCTTTGAGATAGCCGAAATAACACGCGACACCCCCGGAACGTTACGATCATTAGCAGAGCGTGCTCAGATGCATGTTAATGCCTTAAAAGTCTTAGGTCAGCCCACGCAACATTGGGACATGATTTTGGTATATACGATAACAAAAAAATTAGATAAGAATACTCGCAGGGCATGGGAGCGTACGTTGGAAAATAACCAACTACCAACATTTAACGAATTGATCGCGTTTAAATATCAAATTTAATAATCAAGACAAACGTTTTCGAACACCAGTTCAGACTCGCGCACATAATTACGTATCGACAAGTATTAGCAGTACATGTACTATTTGCAAACAAGTACATCCATTATACGCATGCCCGCAATTTTTGAGACTAACGGTTCGCGATCGTTTAGAAGCTATAAAAAGGGCAAGGCTTTGTCCAAACTGCCTACGACCTAATCATAACATTATCAATTGCACATTCGGGAATTGTCGTATATGTAACAGAAGACACAACTCCTTACTTCATTTAGAATCTGACCAACGCAACACGACAGCTAACGTATCGTCCAATCCATCGAAATCTCTAGAAAACGTTAAAACCGCGTTAACCGCATCATACGATTCAGAGGTATTATTAGGAACAGCAAGGGTGATTATAATGGATAAAAACAACAGAGAACACTTGTGCCGCGTACTTCTCGACGGAGGATCACAATCTAATTTTATAACAGAGCAACTAGCGAATAAATTACAACTAACAAAAAATAAAATCAATTTAACATTTTCCGGGTTAGGACAACATAGCACGCGCGCGGAATATTACGTTCACGCCAACATTAAATCCAGAACAAACGCATTTTCAACCGAAGTTAAGTTCATTTCTCTACCGTCAATTACAGGTTTATTACCTTCTCGACAGGTAAACCGAAACGCGCTTACGATCCCAAAAAATATAAAATCAGCCGACCCAGAGTTCCATAAACCCGGGCAAGTAAACGCCCTTCTTGGCAATGCGCTATTTTACAATCTATTAAACGTAGGCCAGATTAAACTATACGACAATTCAATCATTTTACAAAAAACACAATTGGGATGGCTTGTAACCGGAGAAATAAACTTACAGCAACAATATCTTCCTTCCACAGCCGTTAGTGCCTGTCATGTTGCTACATCACTAGAAAATCAAATAACCAAATTTTGGTCTATCGAAGAAATACCATGCAAAGGGTTTAATTCTCCCGAAAAAATCGCATGCGAAGAGCACTTCGTTAAACACAAAACCAGAAACAGCGAAGGTAGATACGTTGTACGATTACCGTTTAACGACAAAGTAAGATTACTCGACGAATCAAAGTATCGAGCACTAAGGCGGTTCTATGCATTAGAACAAAAATTTTCACGCGACCCCATTTTATTCAAGCAATACGTAGATTTCATAAAGGAGTACGAAAGTTTAGAGCATATGAGCGAGGTCAAACAAGACCGAGGGTCCGAAGGTTTCTACCTGCCCCATCACGCGGTTATGAAAGAAACAAGCACAACGACAAAAATAAGAGTTGTCTTCGACGCGCCCGCGAAGGGTTCAATGGGTCTATCACTTAATGATTGTTTATTAACAGGTCCTACCATACAAGATTCGTTATTCACAATATTACTAAGATTCCGATCATATGCGTTCGTTTTAACTGCCGACGTGGAAAAAATGTTTCGGCAAATTCTTATTCATCCGGACGATACATCTTATCAAAAGATATTTTGGCGCAGTTCAACGAATGAACCAATTAAAACATTCAAATTAAACACCGTCACTTACGGTACCGCGTCAGCTTCATTTCTTGCAATACGGTGCTTAAAACAATTAGCAGATGACGAGGCATCAAATTTCCCACTAGCATCAGCAAAATTTAAACAAGACTTTTATGTGGACGACTTAATTACCGGGGCAGCGACGTACGAATCCGCACTACAATTACGCAACGAACTAGTGGAATTAGCGAAATCAGGCGGGCTTCATCTTCGCCAATGGACCTCCAACGACAAACGGTTAATACAGAATTTTGATTCACAATGTTCTGACAAAGATTTATACATAGACAGCGGAGAGACAAGAAGGGCATTAGGTTTACTTTGGAACCCCTTAAAAGATCAAATAACGTACACCGTCAAAACAATAGAAAAGACTCAACGAATTACAAAAAGAACAATTTTATCACAAATCGCGCAACTATTTGATCCGCTAGGCTTATTAGGACCGGTAATAGTTAAAGCAAAAATTATAATGTAACAACTTTGGAAGGACGAAGTGTCATGGGATGAGTCTGTGCCACAGCATATTCATCTTGCATAGACCGAGTTAAAAAAGGAATTACATTTACTAAACAATCTTTCTATTTCACGAAAGGTTGTTCTAGTAAAAAACGAACATATAGAACTACACGGATTTTGTGACGCGAGTGAACGCGCGTACGGTGCGTGCATTTATATTCGTTCATCCGATAGACAAGGCAACAACGAAGTACAATTATTATGTTCAAAATCGCGAGTCGTCCATATTAAAACCATTTCACTGCCCAGACTTGAACTCTGCGCAGCAAAACTTCTGGCCGATCTATAGACAGAAGTTCGTCAGGCAATGCACGAGACAAAATTCAAAGGCATCAAATTTTGGTCCGACTCGACCATAACGTTGCATTGGATTAGAACAATCCCACATTTACTAAAAAGCTTCGTCGCGAATAGAGTTAGCGATATAAAATCAAAAACTGACTGCCAAAGCTGGCTTCACATCCCTTCTGCGGATAATCCAGCAGATTTCTTATCGCGAGGGCAAACCCCATCGGCATTCATTAACAATACTACCTGGATACGTGGTCCCCATTGGCTTATCAACCATGAAGATACATGGCCAGTTAGTAACATTCCATCAATCACAGACGATTTGCCAGAAAGAAAAGGCGCAATAACATTAGCAGTAAACAAACAATCGGAAACAGAATTATTAACACGTTTTTCAGACATTAACCTATTAAACAGATTTCTTAACGCCACAAGACATAAGATAAGGAGTGCAGGCGAACTCACGCCATTAGAAATTCACAATGCACATATGCGCGTTATAAAATTAGTCCAAACTAATACTTTTGCATTGGAAATTAATAATTTAAAACACAGTAAACCACTGGACAAACGAAGCAAATTATTAAATCTAAGCCCATTTATTGATGAACACGGTATACTTCGTGTCGGTGGTAGGTTAAAACACGCGCCCATAAAATTTGCCCAAAAGTATCCAATTTTACTACCGCGTTCCAATCACATCACAGACCTAATAATACGCGACACGCATTTAAGGCATTGGCATGCAGGTATACAGGGCACACTAAACGCGATTATGCAAAGCTATTGGCCATTAGACGGAAAAAATACGACAAAACGCATTATCCATCGTTGTATTCGCTGCAATAAGTTAAATCCCACGGTACCAAACTATACAATGGGCGATTTACCTGAAAACAGGGTCTCTCAGTCAAGACCTTTTCAAAACGTAGGAATTGATTACTGCGGACCATTCTTTCTAAAAGAAAAGAAATTCCGTAACAAAAACAAAATTAAAGCATACGTAACAGTCTTCGTCTGTTTCTCGACAAAAGCCATTCATTTAGAGTTGACAACAGATCTAACTGCCGAGACCTGCTTAGCAGCCTTAAAAAGATTCCTTTCGCGCCGGGGAATGGAACTAATTTTATAGGTGTAAAGAACGAAATTCAACAAATAGAGCAAATTCTCAAGTCTGACGAATACCAACAAAAGCTACAACATTATTTGAGCACTGAAGGTATTCAATGGCACCTTTCTCCTCCCCGTTCACCTCATTTTGGCGGGCTTTGGGAGGCAGGAGTCAAATCTTTAAAAAATCACTTAACTAAAACAATAGGAGAAACGTTAGTCATATATGAACAATTTTACACATTTTTAACTGAAGTTGAGGCAATATTGAATTCCCGACCTTTAACCCAGTTATCCTCTGATCCGAAAGATTTTACAGCTCTCACTCCCAGCCATTTCCTCATAGGCGATACGTTAACAAATCTACCCGAGCTCGATTTTATGCATATTGCTACTAATAGACTCTCCCAGTGGCAACACCTGCAAAGGTTGAAACAGCATTTTTGGTCACGATGGCAAAAGGAGTATTTGCAGGAACTCCACACAAGAAAGAAATGGCATCTGGGAGATACCAAAGACATTAAGGAGGGCAAATTAGTGCTCATGCGAGAGGACAACACCCCACCACTACATTGGAAGCTTGGCCGAATCATTGCCTTACACCCAGGAGAGGACAATATACCCAGGGTCGTGACAGTACGGACAGCACACGGCACGTACAAGCGCAGCATAAAGAAACTGTCACCATTGCCCATCGATAACGACTAGCGCAGACCCGCCGCTACATTCTTCGCTATCATAATTTAGCCATTAATTTAAGTTTAAGGACAAGTCCTACACGATACAGTAAGCATAGGTTAACACATAGTAATTAATTTAACTTAGATAAAACGAACAAAACAAGCCAAATCGATTTGTATATTAACGCGTCATATCGCTCGCAACAACTAATTCATTTACTGTGATTCTTTGAACGCGACCGTTCAAGGCGGGCGGCATGTTGCGTCGCGAAACATGTCGTTTCATTTATAATGGCAATTCAGCGTTTGCATTGATGCTACAAGCCATTAGCTAAATGGCTTTAGTGTCAATGCAAACCAAAGTACATAATAACCGCCATAAAGGGCCCGCTCCAGCGGCCTCGCGACCTGGTCCTGACCGTTGGGCCAGGGTATTTCCCAATACCTGGGACGCGCGGTCCACCCTCGCGTCACGAAATGCAAGAAGTACCAGCGCACCAATCCTGAACGAAAAAGGTTCTGATTGGATGCGGCTGACTTCTTGCATTAGGATATAAGGCGCGAAATGTAACATCATTAGACAGAAGGTTACAAAATGTCTAACATCATACACCGCCGTACGAACGAGAGAGGGTCTACGTCCAACAGAAATACAGTCCACTACACAACCAACGCCTTGCATATCAACAGACGTGCAAGAAGAGCTCTGTACGTGCAACACATTGTACGAGCTCTCACCAGGAGCAGACACTGATGTAGAATCGGTTTTAGAAATATCTTGAGTCGCAGAGCCCGAGGTGCTAGTCGACAACGGTCTTTTGTTGCGAGATTTGTCCAAAAATATTGAGAGATCCTCTAATCGAACAGGTTTGGAAAAGGTAGAACTCATGTTAGTGTCCACTGGAGTAGGGCCTACATTCTCCGGCGAAGCTTTCTCTTGAGTCAATGTTGGTCATAGCTGGCTGCTGGTTCCCCTCGCGCGAAGGAGAGGGGCACTGTTTTGCCATATGACTCTCACTCTTGCACAGAACGCATTTAGGATTATTAGAAGAAACGAAAATCCAAAACGAGGTGTTGTCGAAACTGACTTGAAGGTTGTCGGGCAGCTTGTTTACATCCTCTGGGTGAATGAAAACTTGGCGACGAAAGCTAAGAATATGAGAAAACCCAGCTTCCGAGAACCCAGCCTTTATAATGGAAATCGGTGAGAGAACTCTGATATTCGACTTCTTCAAAATATCTTCAAATATTGAATGCGGAATGATAGGACAAACGTTCGAAAGAATTATCTGTTTCGCCTTCATCGAGAGAGGTCTAACTGAAATAGAGCCAAGATTTTCTCTACCACATGTTTGGACGATAGATGCACACATATTGTATTATTTGCAATGCGGGATGCGAAACGAATGTTCTCATGCTTAATAAGCTTGCCTATGGCAATAACATAGTCCTTGATGGGAATATCCTCGTAGGCGTCTAACACAATAGCCTGTTTTTTGGTTGGAAAATCTCCTTTTTGCGTAATACTTGCATATGTCGAATCGGATACTGGGATTGAAATAACCTTTACACCAGAAGATCCTGTTGACTCCATTGTGATTGAGGGAGAAATTCCTTTCTCAGCACTCACAAACACAACGCGAGAGAGAAAGAAAGCACCACAGTCAAATATGTAGTACCGAGAAGCGCAGACACAACAGAATCGTACTCTACGTGACTCCCTACGTTCGATCCCAACTGAAGGCAGATAGTTGCTCGAAGGAGATTATGCGAACCCGATACGAAATTGGGGAGTCACTAGGATTGTTGATAACGACGCAGACGAACCCAATGCGAAATCGGGGAGCTGCTAGGAGGTTGGAACAAACGCAGACGAACTCGATGCGTAATCAAGGAGCTGCTGGGAGGTTGTATAAATCACAGACGAACCTAATGCAGGCTGGGAGACCGCCGAGGAGAGGAGGCAAGCGGTCGAGAAGACGAGGCGCCATGTCCAACGGACCGTTGTCTTTATGTGGTTCCAGCAGATGATTCGGGCTGGTGCCACGCAACGGCCCGTTGGTGCAGTCCTGCCACATTGGCAAGAGTAGCAGGGCAAACTGGGTAGGCTGTCCTACAGGATGACACAGGGTACTTACCGGGCATGGTGGCTTTGGCGAGTACCTATGTCGAATCGGGAAGGAGGCGACGGCGGTGTGCCACCATTGTGGTGGACCGCAGGACACGGCGCAGCACACGCTGGCAGTCTGCCCAGCGTGGGCAGATGAGCGCCGTGTCCTGGAACAAGAAGTTGGGAGTAATCTCTCGCTGCCCACCATAGTAGGAAAGATGGTGGCCAGCGACAAAACCTGGCCAGTGGTGGCCTCCTTCTGTGAGGTAGTCATGTCACAGAAGGAGGCCGCCGAGCGGAGGTGCGAGCAGGCCGCACATCCCGCTCGGAGAGGGAGGGTTCGGAGGGGAGCCAGGGCGAGGTATCCTTCGCCTCCTGGCCCCCTCCAACGGCCTTGTGGTCCCGACGGACCTCCAGAAGTGGGGCGGTCCGTCTGCATTCTCCGCCCACCACGTCGGTGGCCTGGAGGTTGACGGGCCGTCCCTGGGGGCTGCAGGTGCTCGGTGCGAGGGGCCCTAGCACCGAAGGCAGCCCCGGGGCCGCGGGCGTCGGGTGACCAGGCGTCCGCGGCGGAGAAATCAGGGGGGGGGGGTGGACATGTTGCCCTTCCTCCCGGGATGAGCCTCGACAGGCAAGGAGCGGCGGGGGACTCTGTGATGTCTCATTAGAGTTCCCGGCCCCCCGCCGCACAGTGGGCTGGATCGAAGATTTTAGTGACATTTTACCGAAAAATGAACTTTCACATATCGATTTTTAATCAATTGGTATCGTCTTTCAAATATCTACTGACCTTAAAAACTAAAGAATTTGTGAAATTAACTATAAATTATAGCTGTATTGAACTGTTAAAGTTTAACATTTTCAAATGTACGTTTGACGCTCGAAAAATGTACTTTCTTTGTCACGGTATTGTGACGATCTCGTTTAATGTTTTTTCTTCATTTCTTTTCTACAATAAACAGCATTATTTTCCATTACAAAATATTAAATACAACTCAAGTTATTTTATTTAGTATACTAGGAACGTAACGTTGAATGTACTACAGAAAATTGTCAATATTTTTACAATTGACAAGGAATATCTTTTGAGTCCCAAGTTGTCCCACGTTCTAACATATCTCAACGTTTTCAGGATACTTTCTTTTAGATAATATATAAAAATCGTAACCACCTTCGTCCACCTTTCTGAATTATTAATGTTCAAAGTTATTCGTGTCATGTAATCTTACGCGGGGTCGGTAGCCATCATCGGTACTCTACGGTGTTCGGCCACCTCTGGGAAAAATTTTAATGGGGGATTCTAGAAGCCAAAATAAGACGGAAATCAAGAATACCAATTTGTTGATGGAGGCTTCGTTAAAAAGTTATTAATATTTAAAGTTCCGCCCGTACTGAATTTTTTCCCCGAAAATGCGCAGGATTTCGGGAGTATGTCTATCTACCAAAAATGATTGTAATTGACCCCCACAACCGAGAATAATTTTTCCAGAACGATTTGAAATTTTTTAATTTATATGTTAATAATTTTTTAACGAAGCTTCCATCAACAAATTGGTATTCTTCATTTTCGTCTTGTTTTGGCCTCTAGAATCCCTCATTACAATTTTTCCCCAGGGGTGGCCGAACACCCTGTATAGCTATTTAGGTAATAAGTTGACGTGTATAAGTAGGTAAAGCTAAATGTAAAAATAATGCATTGTAGAGAACGTTCGTCTGTTTTAAACAAAAGCAATGTAATCTATACCACTTTCAAGTGTCTGTTCGCTCTCCTCTTAGAGATCATAGGAACAAAACAGGACGATTGACACAAACGTTTGTTTTATTTTTTTTCTGCATTCAGTTGGAACAGAACCATCGAACTGCATAGTGAACTGCACATTAAAAATATTTTTTCCGTAGTCTAGTTTTTTCGTTCTTTTATTCAGTTTAATATTCGCTTTTTACAGTTGTGTTTTGTATAGTTTATGTTTAGTGCATGTATTCTTTTGAGTTCAGTTAAGTTTATTCTGTGTGTAACAAATTGTATTCCGAGTTTTCTTCATTACTGTTGTTACGGAAGTGTTTGTTGTCTTTTACATTAAACAATGGAGGGATACCGTACAAATAGAGATTTATTTTTTACATTAAAAAATATGTCTAAAGATATAGATGATTATGGATTCTTATATCAAAAAATTTGTGAAAATGCCAATATTTGTGCAGAAACTTCGAGTGTACTGAAAATCAGTTTAAAAAAATTTACGTCAAAATTAAAAATGAAATGGGTGCAATCGCATTATATAGAACTGCAATTTCTAAAGCGAAATAAGACCTGGTTGGAGAAGGATTTTATGTATCCAAATGATATATTGGCACAAATTCCATCAACCTCACAAAGATCGAAACCAGTAGCAGCAAAACCGTCGACTGTCCAAATTTATAAAGGAAGAAAATTATACTCTCAGTGCACCAAGAGAGAAAAAATTCGTAGAACAAAATCTTTAGTAAATAGTTTTTCTTTGGAAGAACTACTGAGTGCAGTAAAAATGAGCCTACGAAAGCATGGAATGCATAAACAATCGCGTATGTTACAATATTTATTACAAAATCAAAATCTAGTAACTATTCTCAAAAATCGGAGTTTAAAAAAAAATATGTTCACACCAGAAAAAGCCTTAAGCACATTTGTATCTGCAGATCTTTCAAAACACCAATACTCCATCGTTAGAAATGAATCGATTAAATTGAATAATAACCCGTGGCCGTCATACTACAAGATACAGACAGAGAAAAGAAATTGTTATCCGCCGAAGGACACTATTGAAATAAATGAAGGGTATGGAAAAGTAAACTTACAAAGCTTATTAGATCACACGGCAATGAGAATATTAAAAAATATAAGAAATGTAAGTGGAAATGCAAAATATTTATTAACGTGTAAATGGGGGTGTGATGGAGCTGCAGATACAAACAAATCAGATAAACGAGGATAATATTTTTGTTTCAAGTATGGTTCCACTAAAATTACAAAATAAAATAACTTCTGAAAACATATGGATAAATCCTTGTCCATCATCATCATGGTTTTGCAGGCCCATTAAATTTGAATTCATAAAAGAATCGCAAGAAACAATAGAAAAGGAAATCCATCGAATAAACAGTGAAATTCAAATGTTAAGACCACTTCAAATAAATAATATTTCTGTAGAGTATGCCATGACTTTAACCATGGTAGACAATAAAATTTGTAATGCCATCACAAATACCAAATCAGCAATGTGTTGCTATATATGCAATGCCTCGACAATTGAAATGAATAATCTGGACCTCGTCAATTGTAAGCTTTGTGCTACGGAAAATTATTCTTTTGGACTGTCATCGCTTCATGCTTGGATTCGATGCTTCGAATGCCTTTTACATATTTCGTATAATTTGCCATTTAAAAAATGGATGGCTAATACCCCGGAAACAAAGAAGATTCGACAGGAAAGAAAAGAACATATACAAGAACAGTTTAAAGAAAAAACGGGTTTGTTAATTGATTATGTAAAGCAGGGATGGGGTTCATCTAACGATGGTAATACTGCAAGGCGATTCTTTTCCAATCCAGAAATCTCTGCACAAATTACCGGAATTGATATCACACTAATTAAAAAATTTCATATCATACTACAAGTAATTTCGTCTCCATATGCAATAGATGTTGACAAGTTCCATGCATACACCCAAAGTACCGCAAAGTATTTCGTCAACCATTATGGCTGGTATTATATGCCAGCCTCCGTTCATAAACTATTAATACACGGTACAGAAATAATAAAACATGCGTTGCTTCCTATTGGACAATTGTCAGAAGAAGCCCAGGAAACAAAACATAAAGACTTTAAAAAGTTTCGGAATTACAAGAGCAGGAAAATTTCAAGAACTGCAACAAATGAAGACATCTTGCACAGACTACTACTAACATCTAATCCACTCATATCAGCAATGAGATTAAACTCGTACAAAAGGAAAAGAAAAATATTAGATCCTGAAGCTCTACAATTACTCAAATAAGGACAGCAGAACTTAGCCCATAACTTCAAAAACAAGCGAGTTATTCAGGTGATCTGTTTAAAATGCCCCACCCTGTATATAAAATAAGGAATACACTTCTGGTTTATTTCGCTACATGTGTGGGAAACAATTACATTTAAAACATTGCAAAGACCAATTAAATAAACACAAATATAAAATTAATTAGACATAGTAGAAGTAATTACAAAATATTCTGTACATTATTAAAACGGGAGAATTTTGTAATATTTTTCTGTGCAAACCACACTTCGATATCTTTAATGGTTCGAAAGTCATACTAAAATGTCACTAAAATTTCTGATCCGGCCCACTGTGCGCCGCAGCGCCGGAGGACGGTCACCGTGGGGTTTTAGCCGGTAAGAGTCCGGCACTACCCCGAGCCCCTACTTGGTGTCCCGGAGTGTTCATGAGGATTTCCCCACGTACAAAAAAAAATCGCTTTATATAATGATGGGTTAAAGAAGTTAGGTAACTCTGATTTAATAATAAAACTAGATATATTCTTAAACCAACAAGAAAAATACAAGTGTTTTGTGTATGTTATGTCGCGTTCAAAGAATGATTATATTTACCTAAAATGATCTTGCGCGGTGTTGACGCACTGGCGATGCGGGGATAAGTCGGTTGAAAATAAAGGCTGTAATAGAATTCATACCGGTTCACGGATTCTATTTGGTTTAAAATTGATACGAAAGGGTACTGTAGCCCGATCTCACGAGATGTAACTGACTATCAAAACCGTAGACAGCGTAACGAAACGTGATGTTAACTGTAAACGTAACTGTACGATTCTGGTCCCCCGAGTAAGGAAACCAAGGAGTTTATATACCCAAAAATCTGTGAGGAAGGATTCAGATGCACGTTAGACATTACCATATTTGGTAATCTCCGAACTTCGTTAGTCACCGAGCAGCTGCATCTCGTGGGAACTGACTCTACATTCCAAAGGGTAGATAAGTAATAGGGCGTTTTCCTAATACACGTAAGTGGTAGTGTGTGTGTGTGTGTAATAGTTCATTCCTCTTTCATTTGGTAAG